CCTTTCCAAATTTTTCTTGTTTGGATTAATGTTTTTTTTTTTTTTTTTTTTTTTTTTTTTTGGTCGTCTCATATACACACCAATAGAACTTTAATGGAAATCTGTCTTTCTTTCTGAAGCACCCCGAGGAGTTTGTGCACTAATGCATCTGTAGCTCAAAGGCAAAAATAGCATCACATTGTTGGGGGGGGGAAATACATATTACACTCTAAAGCCGTCTAGAGAGACACTAAGACAAGACAAAAAAAACTTCAAACACATGGATTTCAAACACAAGTGGTGTATGTTTAGTCCAATTTCGACTGTTACCAGTTGTTATTGTTCGCAGAAAAACAGCAGGCTAAATCTGTCATCTCATGAATAACCATAATATGAAATCATTGCAAATAATTATGCAGCCTATTTGACAGAGGCTAACACTGTAGATTGTGTCAAATCTAGAAATAAAGGACGACTTTGACCTTAGCTTACAGAAGGAATGTTCGTTTTGTCCAATTTCTAGTTTAGAATTATGACTTACGATCGTGAATTGTGCATATAAATATTGAACGCCTCTCTAAAATGTTAAGACAGTTCTTCTGCACAAATTTGTTTCACAAATTTGTTTCTGGTTATACATGTGCCATTTATGTTTCAGGTCATCGCACCTTTTCTAATGTCAGTATGGGAAGCACCGTGACCCTCACTGTTGCATAAGTGTTCTATCGCATGTCAAAACCATCCGCTGATTTTTTTTTTCTCTCCCCCTCCTCTTCACATGTATTTGAGCTGTGCGCCTTTCAGCTCCTGCCGACTCGCGCGCAAGAATACACTGGTTGTCTACGAAGACATTGTGCCTTTTGCACAAAGGCTCAACAGGACAGCTGTAGCCCGAGTGTTGATGCGGAAGCCCAACTATTTCTTGAGGCATGCCCCAACCACAAATTTGAGCCATCGGCTTTGCTCTAAATCCTTAGTTACCATAGTTGCAGAATGCAGCAATCAAGCGTGTTCAACTCATCTTCGAAGTCTTTCACCTTGCACAAAGTGACTGAACCCTGAGCAATGCTCCTCTCAGCAGGATGCTGTCCCGTGGCCACAGTGATTACCTACGCTGTGCCCAAACATAACATCAGTGTGTAGTGTGGCTGTCTGGGTGGCTTCCAAATGCTGTTAATAGCTTGGCTGGGTTGGACAGCTTTAATAACCACGGACGTACTCGCAGTCTAATCCATAAAAGGCTTTACAGTCAAAGCCGGGAATGACAAGGCTGCCTCTGTCTGGCTCAATATCGTCACCACCACCAATAACCTATGTATTGTTGATGCCACACTTTTTATTGTGGATTTCAACAAGCCGAGCAAAATCTGTATAGGCTGTCGAGAGATGAAAGAAAAAGTGCATATGTTTTGGCTTTGTCTGTGGGACAACCACCGGGAACATTTTCTTTCATTTAGTCATCTGATGTTGGCAATGGCGGGCACTCTTCTCAATTTCCCCTATTTTTCCTTGTGTGATTTCAGACGCTCCCTCCACTGAGCAACAGGAACTTTTCACCCAGAAACTCCAGCAGTGCTGCATGCTCTTTGACTTCCTGGACTCTGTGACGGACCTGAAGAACAAGGAGATCAAGAGGGCCACACTGAATGAGCTGGTGGACTATGTGTCCACCAACAGAGGCGTGCTTGTTGAATCCGCGTACCCTGAGATCACCACGATGGTCAGTAGACGGTGGTTAAGGGGCTCGCCCTATCAGGATGTAGTCATTTAATTTCAAATGGAGAGATGGGGCACTGTAGTTTTTCAAATCCTTCATTGACACCAATTGCCTGATTAGCAAATTCACGCTATCACAGATGCCCTCTGTTGACTGATGTCCGCATGTATCGCTGTAGAAGGTACAGAGGAAAACACCTGCTTCACAACACTAACCTGAAAAAATTATAGACTGAAAGAAAAAAAAAGGCTTTCCCTCAAATAAATGCCCTCGTACTCTCTGCACCGAAATTAGCAAGCATCCCCTCCTGCTCCCGTATGAGGAAATTCTGTCATTCGGGAACGACCTTGGTATTCTTCACTGTGAAGTGTGCAGTTTGTATGTCATTAGGAGCCATCGGATATATATCCTCTCCCCACGCTCAGTGAAATAGCCCGTGCACTCGAGGGGATTACAAAATGGAGGCTGATCATGTGTCTCCTGTCTAGACAGGTTTTGTCATGTCAGCACTATATGGGATATACTATATGTTACCATAGCTACGGTATTAAAAATCCCCCATTGTGCCATGTCTACTCGAGCGGAAATGCAGGAAGGCTTTGTGTTTTCACATGTATAGACATGTATTTATTTCACAATAAGGCTATAGAACATTAGAGCTGCAATCAGGGAAAAAAATACCATTCATATTTTGACTGATGCTGGCAGTCACTCTTATTGAATTGAACCCAAAAAGCTGGCAGTTGACTCCAGAAAGAAGTCATAAAAATGTGTCCTGTTAAGTTGACGCTGTAGTTGCTAACGTATGTTGAACTCGATCATTCTTTTCCACAGATCAGCACAAATATATTCCGTACACTGGCTCCCAGTGACAACCCAGATTTTGACCCAGAGGAGGATGAGCCCACTCTTGAAGCTTCATGGCCGCATATCCAAGTAAGGATATGATTTTGTTGCTTCTCTATGCCTTTGTAGAGCTGCATCCCAGTGGGAGGGGCTATGTTGAGGCGACAGATGTTTTGGAATTCATAAAAATAAAATTGGATACTAAGTGTGTTGTACGTTTGCACTGACATATTAGTGCGTACCGCTGTGTCAGAAATCTATTAAAAAAATACACCATTTAGTTTTTTGTTGTTGTTAGTTTTGTTTTTTTGTCATTGGATCTTTCAGCTCGTCTACGAGTTTCTACTCCGTTTCCTTGAGAACCCAGATTTCCAGCCCAGTATTGCCAAACGCTATATTGATCAGAAGTTTGTACTCCAGGTAAGCAACTTTGTGCGCAATTGCCTTTGAAAACATTTAACACAAGTCAACTGTTTCATCGTTAAGGTCTTGATAAATATGACAGATGGTTCTCCCAGCTGAATTTAGTTTTTGTTGGTACGATGTGTGGAAATGACATAGGCTTTGGCCTTGCTATGCCTGCTCGGTTTTTTTCCGCCCTCGCTCTTTGTGAATTTTTCAACAAAAAATGTTTTGTGCTTATCTACCACTATGCATTTGTAGACATGGTTTCATGTGTTATATTATGCAACTGTATAGGAAGTAGTATCCAAGCCCTCCCTCCTCCCCACATAGTTGAATTTGGCAAAGCACACAGAGTTCTCAATAATGACGCTGCATCGGAATCATCTTTATTGGCCAAGTGCGTAAAAAGACCCAAGGAATTTGTGTCCGGTTGGATGAGCCATCTGCACTGCCGTTAGTGTACAGGAGTCCCTCACCCCGCAGCTCCACAGGAACCAAAGGGCCTGGAATGTTGGCTTGGCTGCATCAGAGGTGCCGGGACTGATTTTCCATGATGTGAGCGTGTCGTGGGGAGCTTTAAATAGCTGCCTGTTGTTTTGCTCTTTAGGGTGAGATGAGAGGGCTGTGGTTGGGAGCAAATTGACAGGCTGGAGGGATGGAGGTTTGGGTGGCAAGTGTGACGCGGGGGGCAAAAAAAAAAAAAATACACCAGTCCCACAGTTTGGTTAATTTAAGTCCTTGTGTACAAAGACGTCATGGGCTGAGTTGTGCATTGGGGGACGGAGGGGTGAGAACGACACATGGATGTTCGTAAGGTGCAATTTTCCAAAATAATAGCCTTCAGATGTATGTCAATAAAATAAGAATTTCAAATATTCTTTCCCTGCGGCTCGATACCAAAAGATCCACTTCCTTGTATTGGGCCTGCTGCCCAGTGGTTGAAGAGCTCCAGAGGTCACAGAAGTACAAAATAGCTTGCATGTACGACGACGCACTCTTTTTAGGATTTATGCAGGCTTAAATATAAACCACCAGCCGTATCACAGAGGCGCTGATGACAAGTTAACTGGAAGAGAGTTGCCATACGATGCTGAGCCAAAAATTTCCTTTTGAACTGCCTCGTAATGATGACTCATGACGTGTAATGGCGCAAATAGATGTGACCTTTCAGGTGTATATGATGCATTTGTTTCCCATTACGCACACACTTCCTGTTTTATAATCAGGAAATATGCGTCGCCTGCACAAATCCTACAAAAAAGGGAACAACTGACATTTTCATGGACCCCCACCCCCACCCCCCTGCTGTCTCAAGCTTCTAGAACTGTTTGACAGCGAGGATCCAAGGGAGAGGGACTTCCTCAAGACCATCCTGCATCGGATTTATGGAAAGTTCCTCGGGTTACGAGCCTTCATCAGGAAGCAGATTAACAACATCTTCTTGCGGTGAGTTCAACATGATTTGTTATTCAACTACTAAAGGTTGTGCCTTTTGGAGGCCTCAATGGGAGCGTTGAAAAGAAATCCCAAAGTGCACTAAATATAACATTTTCCATTTGAAGCCGCTGAAATATGTTGCAAAGAAAGGACGCTAACTCATGTCTTGCGTTGAGCAGTATCCTTTTAATTTGTCCAGCCATAAACATCTAAATGATAGCACGTCATGCCTCAGCCCGAGACGTGTTTTCTCGGTGTTTACTGTCCTTGCATTATTGCAACCCGAACCCATTTCTCCCGCTTTTCAAATTCGGAAAAGTACAAAAGCGCAGATGGAGGCATCAAACATTCCCAACAATGTGTTGAGTCTTTACAGCTCCTGTTGCTGCGTGACAATGGGATTTAGATGATTGAAACGGGGGGCCCTTAATGTCATTTCCAAAAGGCAAGGGTGGCAACATGGATGCGCCCACTTTGACCATCTGCCATGCAGGGTAAAAATAGTGTCATCGTTGTCAGGCGCTGTATGTACATACCGCAAGTGTGTAGGCATGGCTTGCTGAACACGAGATGAATCACTGATTCGTCAATCATTTGGTTGTCCACAGAGTATCATTTTAGCATCGTGGAATTGGCTGTATTTGTTCCAAATATTTGATTGTTTCAGCCAAACAGCATTCATCTTACCAGGTTCTACTTATTACATTGCCATCATGAAACGTCACCCATTAAAAAAACACTTTTGGGAGTTGTGTACAGCATGAATAATTTGCCTGTTGCACTTGTAGGTTCATCTATGAGACTGAACATTTCAACGGAGTTGCTGAGCTCCTAGAAATTCTAGGAAGGTGAGTGTATAATCATGCAAGCACAGGCAGAGCAATCTAGACCTACCTTCAAGTCTTTTTTATTTAAAAACAACTTTAGACTGCTTTATTTTTGGTCAATTTTGTTTTGAACTCGACTTCCAGTTCAATAATTGCTGTTAGTGATGGAACGTTGCCCTTTCAGTATAATCCCTGACTTTTATCCCATCAGTGTGGTCATGACTGTGTTTCGTGTCTCCAGTATCATCAACGGGTTTGCGCTGCCTTTGAAGGCAGAGCACAAACAGTTCCTGATGAAGGTGCTCATCCCATTACACACTGCAAAGGGACTGGCCCTCTTTCATGCTCAGGTAAGACTGTCTCTACACCGCCATCTAGTGGCTCCACAATACATTTTTGAATTAATAACCAATCGGAAAAATATGTGTGGCTTTTATTCATAACTATTCAACGGCAATAGGAAAAAAAAGGAATCATTCTTAGCTGAGTTGCTGTCTCATGCCATCATGTTGATCCTTTAGCACTGTCGTGGAATGTTAATTCGAGCCGCTTATCTTGTCTTTCAGCTGGCATACTGTGTGGTCCAGTTCCTGGAAAAGGATCCAACACTAACTGAACCGGTACAAAAAACGGGGGGAAAAAAGCAAATAAATAAATAACAACATTCCTCCCACTGTACACATTATCCTGGAGCGCTAAAATTAGTCAAGCTGCAGAATCTGTCGTGGGTGCTACAAACCACCTACTCAACCAAGATAAAGATACAGGATTCACATTAAAGAAGTCCCCAGTGAGTTGTCTTGCTTTATTTTTAGGTGATCCGAGGCTTGCTGAAGTTTTGGCCCAAGACCTGCAGCCAGAAAGAGGCACGTGCATAAAACTGCCCGCGCAGCAATTACAGTACATCAGCCTGCTTCTTTTATGCCTTCATGTTCACTTCTTTGTCTAAACAGGTGATGTTCCTGGGTGAAATTGAGGAGATTTTGGACGTCATTGAGCCAACGCAGTTCAAGAAAATCCAGGAGCCAATGTTTAAACAGATCTCCAAATGTGTGGCCAATCCCCACTTTCAGGTAGGTTTGGATTCAAAATGTGTATTTGCTCTCACTTTTTGCCAGTGTTAATTTCTCCTTTTTATGTTCAGTTATCGCATTGTGGTTTAAAAATAATAATAATAATAATAATAATTGGCTGTCAACCCCCTTTGTTAACTACCAGTGTCGCTCTCAGACACCTGTATGGAAACATGAAGTCATTGCTGATTTTCTTCCTCCGCCCCGACAGGTCGCAGAGCGAGCGCTGTACTTTTGGAATAACGAGTACATTCTCAGCCTCATCGAGGAGAACATCGACAAGGTCCTCCCCATCATGTTCTGTAGCCTGTACAGAATCTCCAAGGAGCATTGGAATCCGTATGTACTCTTAACATTAAGTTGCTCCAGAAGACAGAACTCCATTTGACGCCACTTTCCACCAGAGCAATTATTGACGCGTGGATTGGCCATAAGCATTCATGTGGAGTTCCTGTCCGGTGTTGTACGGTATTGACACACACTCCCAAATTTTACATTTCAGGACTATCGTAGCTCTGGTCTACAATGTGCTGAAGACGCTGATGGAGATGAACTGTACACTCTTTGATGAGTTGACCTCTTCCTATAAATCAGACCGGCAAAGGTGAGTCCAAACTAATCTGCATCAGAATCTTTATTTTCAAAGTACTAGGTACAGGGAGGAACTGGTTTCGGGTTTCAAAGAGTTGGTTTTAGCATTCCATCATTGAAAATTGAAATTAGCGTAAATACCGCGAGCTTAATCCTAGGGACCTGAAGCAGGGGTTTTATTGGATCATACAAATATGACAATATAACAATTGGTTTATTTTTTTCATTATTTTATTTGACTTCTTGACATAATAAAACCAAAACATTCATGTGAAACAAACCTGATGTTGATTATTTTAATACATATTAATTTATCGTTTGTTTGTTTAGAAAATGCACGGGAAGGGGATCTTGAAAAAAATAACTGCATATTAAATGCTCAGCGCAATATTGAGAGGGGAGGAAAAAAAAATCTCAATTCAATCATTTTTTTCAAAATCGTTCGCTGTTAAATGAAGCCGACTTCCGACATTAGTACGACAAGAATAGCTAACATGATGAGGATAGGTGTTATTGATATATGGTCGAAAATCATTCTGGTGGCATTAGTATCAGTGGCACATCAACAGATTTGATCTGGTGTGGTCTTCCTTTTAGTATGTTAGCATCTTTTTGTCATGGTGCTCATGAGACTAATGTGTTCCAGTTATGCTTTTACAGTGCACTTTATTTGCTGGTTGCCTGTTAGATTGTTAACAACAAGGTCTTTGTTGTTTATTTTTGTCGCTTCACTTATCACTCATCTACTTCCTGTTTACATTGCTGTGACTAATAAGAGACAGCAGCGATGTCGCGGGTTCGTCTGGACACTTTTGCACTTGAAATTTTTACCGATCGTGAAGTGCACCGGCTGGATAAAGTAAGTAAAACGCTCAGTTTTCCTGTTTTGACTGCGGTTTTTAATTTTTTTTTTTTCAGGGAGAAGAAGAAGGAGCAGGAGCGCGACGATTTGTGGAGGAAGCTGGACGAGCTGAAGCTCAGCAACAGCACACTAGAACAGAACAACAGCCACAAGCTCCTAAGTGTCCAAAACAACAACAAGAATAGCAATAATAATAACCGGGGCAGCCAGTGAGAGCAACCCACGTGCCAACTGACACCAGGCGTCAGCTGTTCACACTTGTTGTCTTGAATGGACTGACGTCGTCTCCAGGACTGTCGGGAAGGGATGAACAAAGATTGGGGCGGAGGGGGGCGCCGGGGGTGACGACACCTCCGCATTTTTATAAAACATTGATGAGTGACTTTAAACGCCTCACAGAAAAGATTTGATGTTACCGACAGTATATTGTTGATTTGTCCACTCTTGTTGTATTCGGTGTACATGTCCAGCGGTTGGAGGAGAGAGGAGGAGGGGGTGGGGGGGAGGACCGGGGGATCATGACTTGAATTCAGCAATTCAGATTGTTTCCGCCACCAGCTGAATCGCTCAACAAAGATGTCTATTTTGTACTGTCGTCGCTGCCAACACTCATGCGCTGACCCTAGGGCTGCGGGGAAGTGCATTGTGGGAGTTAAGAGGCAGCCGGGACCACACCCGCTCTGAGACGTTCTGAAATGTACACAAAAAGAGGCTCCATTCGAAATCCCAAAATGGAACAATCATGATGAACATCCCAATCGGTTTTGTCTGTCTTGGTCTTGCGGAGGGTGTTTTGGAGTGTAATATTGTATGTCACAGTTAGTTTTACATTTCAGGTAAATATTTTTTTATCTGGGCGAAACCATGTGAGCGGCACAGCAGCTTTTATTCAGAGTATTTACACTGAAGTATTGACACAGGGCTTTCAATTGTACACTTTTTAGCCTGGGTTATAGTGGGAGGAATTGGATTGACCGTTGCTTGATTGTGTTGGGGGCATACTGTGATGCTGCTGTTGTGTCTTTCGGTTTATAAATATACTTCAAATAGCTGTTAGCTTAGCGTAAAGCCTGGAAAACAAGACAACATCCACAGTTCAGCCGTTTTATATTAGACCATGCTTAAACAGTCTTCGCCCATGTAAATGGTTTCGCAAAAAAAAAAGTTTTCCTGTTTCCAGTCTTTATGCAGTGATGCTCAGCATACAACCGTAGGATGTATTTTCGTCATGTCTAACTACAGGCAGGGAAGAAAAGTTGCTGTTGTTGTTTTTTTTTTTTTTAATTACTTTGAATTATTTCTGTAAATAATAGAAGCGAAAGTAAGACATACAGTGCTATATTTTTCCAAAGTTTATTTTTTGGGCAGTTCATTTTGCAAATGGACTAAGCTGGGATGCCAAGCAGGCTTGATTGTTCAGTCTATTTGTCAAGTGGTTATATTTGTATTAGGGATGCACCGACACCACTTTTTTCACAGAGCGAATCGGAGTCTACAAGGACATACATTTGAGTATTCGTTGATACGAAATACTTGATTATCCCAGTGCGTCTTGCAATTATGATGACATTTTTTTTAATTTTAAACAAACATTGTTCCGACACACAAACTCATTGAACATGGCATCCGTTTCACAAGATTTTTTAAGAATAACAACTTGTCATTACTAAAATTGTCAAATCCAACTGTCTGGTTTTCTACCACGTTTTTCATTTAAATGTTAACTGTAACACAAGGGCAGGACAACTAAAGTGTCATTACTTCTCCATACTTGGGAGTGTTTGACAAGAGTAAGGGACAGGTTCTTTGTCGTTTTGGGTTTTTTTTCTGTGTCATTCGCAGTAAGCCTGTTTCAGGTGAATGAGCCATTTGCAGTTTCACCGTACAGGTCTAAGTCTAATCAAACTTGCCTGACATAAGCATATTCTTCGGGGTTGACATGTCACAGCTCATTGCCCGCAGGCCTGGCCTCATCCGCCGCCACTTCGTGGTGGAAGCAAAGCTGGCCGTGCTGGAGTCTGGCTCGAGAAACTCAAAAATTCAACATCCATTTTGCAGAGCATAATTTGCAGTTGGATTTCATGTTTTCTGTGTTTGCCTAAGATCATCTCCACACTGCCAGCATGGCTCCTACCCCATCTAGCTGGGAGATAAAGTATATGTCAGGCTGATAAAGTGGTCTCTGTGTCGTAATATCAGAGCATTGTTCTAAGTCCGAGTAAAAACGTACAGTTTCAGCCCCGATTCTGGTCTTGGTATCAGTGCGTCCCTAATTTGTGTGCTAGTTTCGAGGTGACAAAGGACAATGCCACTCTATTTAAAGGGGACCTATGGACTATATGATGTTGGTTCCGTTTTAAATGTAGTTTCAAAGTATTAATGTACATGTACAATGAAATGACATAAAGGTCCTACCTGTGAGATACACCTTTTTATTCTATTGTCATGTCCAGATGATGATGATAGTTTATCATGTGGTTGACAACTGAGTTTCTTTCTGCCCTCTATTTATATATATATATATATATATATATATATATATATATATATAAGCGCAGTGTATTCTATATTAAGTACTAAAGATTTTAAGATTCAATAGTAACACTGCTGGGATTGTTCAAACTTCACTGTCATGCTGTCATTGCGAATGAACAGCAAGTGGTCAGATTTCCTCTCATCAAGATGTGTTATGAAGTAGTGAAACAAGAAAATAAACACTTGGTTGTTTTGAGAACTAAACTTTACTACCTGTTCTTCCTCATGCTCTTACCTCCTCAAGTAGACTTTTTGTTGTTGTTGTTGTCGTTGGGAAGTAATCATCATCTGCTCATTTAAGACACATTTAGATCGTAGGGAACACGTCAGGGTGCATTTATTTTTGAAGGGTCTGTCTTCACCTGGCTTTTTCACTTCGAATGTTTTATTTCCAGTTTCTCTGATGCCTTTTTTTTTTTGTCAGTACAGCATTCCAACGTCTGTGATGTTTAAATTTACTCATTTGAGGTGAGATGGAACCTATTTTGTAATCTCAGATAGGTTTTTTTCCGAGGTTTCTTCATTAAATAAAGTCCACTCTATCTTTCTACTCCAAGCATAGAACACGCTTGTCTTTTTACTCCCAGCAACTGTAGTACAGCATAATGGTCGCAAGGTGGTGATATGATTTGTAATGTGTGCCGTGTGGATTTGGCCTGTAAATCCAGACGCGACGCTATTCTATTTATTTGGTGCAGAAAGAAAGTACATTTGGCTCATGATAATAACCAGCCCAGAGATGCCAATTCAATCTGTAAACATGTTGGAGTTCTGGAGTTTGGGAATTTACTGTGATATGTCGCACTTGAATGACATCACGGTCAACTGAACTTCATTCGTATGGAGGGACGCACTAGAGTGGTGATCTTTTGAATGATATATCGGCCTGTCGTGTGTATTATAGATTCATTGGATTTTATTTCGTTGCCTTATTTCAGCCACATTATAGTGCAGAGAGCTATAGGAAACATTGAGTCTCACACTGCAACGTGAAAAGGCCTCATACTTTTTTTGTGGATTTGCAATGGCATGCAGGACAAAAATATTACATCAATATGACAATTTTGAGTGTATTGCTTTTTTGTAAAATAGGTTCTTGCATTTAACGTTGGTTTCTTGTTCAGCAATGTTTTTTGTTTTGTTTTTTTAATGCCACCGAGTCTGTGTATATAAGTATGTGGTTATTTTCTTATTTGCTTTAAACCGTTTGCTGTTGGGTTATAGTGGGTCTTTTATACATGCGTTGAAATATGTATTATCCAAAATGAAGCATCTATATATTCAGCATGTATTTTGTGCATGTTTAAAATAGCATTTTTGTCATACATCACGTTAGGAAGTGCGTGGACCTCTGTGTGCCCCCCCCCCCCCACCCCCACTATTATTTAAGTTGCTCATCCCTGCATTAGAATGTACAGCAGCTACAGCGTTGCCAGTCCGATTTTACACTAGCAGGATGTTCCCCTTTACGCGTATTACCTAGAAGTGCAGTTTCCCTGGCGACAAGTCGCGCGCCTTGGAGGAGATCATGTGGCTGCAAGTAATATACGTAAGAGTTTTGTTCTTTCTGTATTTCGTCCACCAACCGGAGATGTTGGAACGGAGCTCCATGAACTACACTTCGGAGAACCTCACCAACACTTTGTTCACGTCCAAGTTGAGCGCCGCTGCTGACATATGCGTGGGACTTGCCATCCTCTCAGTGGGTACGTGCATCATCACCCCTTTTATTTATTTCACATTAAAGCAATTTAGATTTGACAATTGTCGTGACGGTATCATTGCTGCTCATAACAATGTTTGAGAGTTGTATCAATTTATCACATTTGGTGGAAATTTGATTTTTCTCTGGTGTTAGTCTTTGTGCAATTTGACTGTTTTTGTCATTTTTTTTAAATGAAGATTGAAACGTCAATTCCTCAAGTGATAGTGTAGCCTATTTATCATGTGACAAATATATTTTTTGTATCTGTCATACTCTATAAAGCCTATACGGGCGTTTTGTTGGCCAAGGGGGGGTTGAACAAACTGTTAACATCAGGGCTGCTAATGATTGTGGCACACATGATTTGAAGATAATTATTTCTTAATGCCCCCCACCCTACACTGCATCAATGCACTTGAATTAGAAAATGGATTTTCTTCTTTTTTTTTAATGTTGGTCCTAGATTATTCAGACAAAAACTGAACACTTAATCAGGGCAGTGTATGTGTTTGTGAGAGAGGTTGGCAACCGCTGTGCTGTACTGAAAAAATATCCAAAACCTCATGGACTAATCAACCTCCACTCAACTTTCATTACATTAGCGTCGACCCAATAGCAGTTGTGGCAACCCCTGAAGTGGACTGCAATTGGCTGGTGATCAATCCAGGGCACATCAATCAAGCCATGGACAGATGGGCGATATGTTCTTCTTAAAAGAAATATATATAATAATAATAATTATAAGTGAAATGTAATCTGTTTCTGATTGCCCCAGTGTTGCTATCAGCGATGGGTAACGGCATAGTTCTGGTGATCTGCTACCGCCGCCGCAAGAAGATGGTGGGCTCCGAGCTTCTGTGCGTCAACCTGGCCGTGGTGGACTTCCTGAGCTGCATTTGCTTCTACCCGCTCTCCATCCTGTCGTCCTTCCACCACGCGTGGCTGGGGAAATCTCTCACGTGCATCTACTACGGCCTTGGCTGCTATATCTTTGGCCTGTGCAGCATGTTCACCATCGCCGCCATCAGCTTCATCCGCTGTGTTAAAACGTGCTACAGCTTGGTTTATGGTGGGTATTTTGTCTCGATTTAACGTAATAAGATGTCATGACCTTTGCAGTTATACTGTACATGGTGGACGAATGGTTTGCATTTCCCAAGTTTTGAATCTTAATATTGAGTGTGATTAATTTCTCAGCAGGTATTGTGTCTTTTTTTTCCACAGCCCTGAAACGAACTCTTGCTTTTTCAGTTGATTATAATAACCTTGATAAGGACTGGCTGTACAGAAAGCGGAGGAATGGATCTTTCAAGAGCAGTTTTTTTCCTTTTTTGCAGCCGCATGGCTGGAGACCGCCAACATCAGGCTGGTGTGCTGCGTCATTTGGCTGGTGGCGACAGTGTGGTCCAGCTTCCCTCTCTTCGGCTGGGGCGAGTACGTCCCCGAGCCCTACGGACTGTCCTGCACCATCGCCTGGCGAGGCTACCACACCTCGGCCAAGGACGCCTTCTACGTCATCTGCTCCTTCGTGTGCTTTACGCTGCTTCCCGTCTTGATCATCGTGATGTCCCATTGCCAGATCCTCTACAAGGTGTCCCGCTTCTCCTATTCTCTGTCGGCGCAAGGCATCCAAAATAACCTGCGGCGTGCTGAGAAACGACTCTCCATGGTGAGCCCTTTGTATTGTTTCATGGCACCCGTTTTATAGCGGAAGTCTTATAGTACACAAGCAAACAAAAATCCTGAAATAATTATGTTTCAATTTATTTGCAAATCAACCAATTTGAAGTGTTTGGGCCTGTTTAATCAAACATCACAGAAATACAGGGCTTGCTCTCTTTCAAAGTAATAAACTTTGCAATTACATTTTTAAAAATGGCCGTGTGTTGGCTGCGTGAACTGTTCTGTCTGACTTACATGCGCATATGCGTTATCATTGCCTCTGTTAGCATTAACCTTAAGCGAGTACACTAAAGCTAGGCTAGTTTTAAATACACATGTAAAGTTTCGTCTAATCGTAAACTTAAACTGAGGGTGGCAATAAACGGCTGGAAGAATATTTATTGATTCTGTCTGCCTCTATACAAGCTCTTGCAAGTCAAAGCATAGGAAAAAAAAAAACTCATCCTCAAGACAGCTCGTATCTAAAACTCATATAAGGGGGCACAACTGTATATTGAATGAAAATTCCAAATATTCCAAATGTATTTGCAGCTAGTCAGAAAGAAATGATTGATCTCTACAGTTTCAGTTACAGATCATCAAACCTCACATTGAAATGTTCAATCTACTTTCCATACAAACACACTGTATTATTCACTTTTCTCAACTATAATTTCTCATTCACAGACGCTCGGCATGATATCTTTTGTTGTCACTTAAAAAAGCCGTTCCTTTGCACTTCATTATTTCCAATGTCATTTCCTTCTCTCCATTTCCTCCCCCAGATGTTTTTCTGCATAAGTCTCGGCTTTGTCATCGCCTGGGCGCCGTATGCCATTGTGTCCTTCCTCTTCATATTCCACAAGGAGAACCACTACATGGCTCCCGAGGGCTTTGTTTTCCCCACCCTCTTTGCCAAAAGTTCCCACATCTATAACCCGTTTATTTACTTCTACTTCAACAAGACCTTCCAGAAGGAGCTCAGGTCCCTGCTGGCCTCTTTCTTTCCCAAAATGGGAGCGAATCGGGTCGGTGTCCATGCCGCTTCGAGCCACCCGGCTCCCGGCCCCGTCTACATCCAGCTCCAGGAGAGAGGCCCCATCCGTAAGGCGTTTGCTTCATCTCGTGGTCCGACGCGGGGCAAAAGCACAGGCAAAGGCAGTAAAGGCACCAGCGGTAACTACGTCCAGGAAAGACTGGTGCACACCTGCTGGGGGTCCACGTCAAAGAACCCCACCATTCTCTTTGAAAAATAAAGCTGAAAACTATTCTTTGCCTGCCTGTGAGAGCTCCATCTAGACAAAGCAAAGGCCCCTAAGACGCAAAGACAGCAGTGACATCACCTTTCAAGTGTATAGAACCAGTCAGTGAATTCATTCGGCGTAATTGACACCCTTTTTCTCACATTCCCTTTCAGCGCAAGGTGCGGTGTTACTTCTTTGGGTGAGTCACAGATGTGTGCACTGGCAGATTAGGTCCGGGTTACATGAATTGATTAATTCCTTTCTTTGGAGTTTCAACACAACAAGAGAGACGCACGATATTGATCATACACACATTGTAGCCGTCCATCATGTTTGCCGCATACTCATTCGCAGATGCAGCAGGGGAACCCGGATGCCAAGGGGGTAGCAGCCGCCCGCTCAGTTCGTCGGTCTTGGTTTGGTTGGGTGCATTTGTGAAACTGCAGTGGCACAAGTGATCTGCCAGGCTGATCTCAAGATGCGTGGCTCGCTTTAGGAGGGCCCTGGTGTCGTCCTTAATGTGGTCCTTTTCACTTGCAGGCACATTAGACATTTACATCAGTCCTACGATGTTTAAATGGTTGTGACATTGTACGACTGTAAGCTGTTGTTGACTGTGTTGTGGAATTGTCGTCTCCTTGAGGTGTGTGGTTCAAAAAAAAGATCTGTGAGACATGTATGCATGACAGACTTACTACTATTACAAACTACGAATGTACCAAGTGCTGTATTACTGTACTCTGATGTTTTTTGTGTTGTGCTTGTCTTCACGTTTCCATGTGGTTGCATACGGCTTACTGTATATGTTCTTTAAAAAAAAAAAAAAGATCTGAAATGGGAATATTTATTTATTTAATATATCATCTACAACATAAGAAATACAACGTGTATTTTTTTTTAGCTAAAACAGTCATTTAAGTTGGACCCAATATAAAATATAAATTATTGACATATATGGCCATGCATGTTTTTGGAATGTGGCAGGAAACCGGAGTACCCGGGAATACCCACACAGGCCGGTGGAGAAATGCAGGGCCCGGAATCAAACCAGGGACCTCTGCTCTGTGAGGCGGATGTGCTAACCAATTACCACCGTACCGCCCTTCACCAAATGTGTTCTTCTATTTGTACTGTACACACACACACGCACATGCACACACACACACGCACTCAATCATTGAGTTCTGAAAAGTAACCGGACAGTCTTTTGCACCCGCAAATCTGCAAAGGCTGCACTCCGGAGAGATGTGGAAGCGAAACGGCAATATAAGTGTTTCCCGACTGACAAAGCGTGAAAGTGTGACGTGATGGTGAAAAAAAGTGTAGCCATTAACACAACACTGGAGCTGATTCGTTACACCTCCTAATCAGCAATCCAATAATTTCTTGACTTACCTTGAAGAAAGAAACATATCAAACAGATACGTCAAACTCTATCATAAAACTGTTGCAGCTGATTTTGGGGTGAGAGGCAGATTTGACCGAGGGACCAATACGTACTTGTACCAATACCATACTTGATCAATAAAGATCATTCCAATGATTCCAATTCAGTGAACCAGCCGAGGATGTATTGTCCACCTTTCACCCAAAGTCAGCTGGGATAGGCTCCAGTTCTCGGTGTCGAAAAAAGATGGATGCGCCCCTTGTTAGCGTTTAATAAGTCTCACATGGTGATCTGATTATGTAAGGAAGCTGCACCAGTGGAACAAAACAGGGCACGTATCCATGGATAAAGAGAAGGCGGGACAAATTGGGGGGATGGCAACTAGGATCAGACTGGCACCGTCGGACCGGGTCAAGCCCAACCCCCACTGTCCTCTTTTTTTTGTGTGTGTGCCTGCCCGGCCTCCATTGTTACAGTCCTGACCCTCATTAGTACCAGTTAGGGGGAGTTTTGGAAATCTCTTCAGTAATTGCTCATTTGCAAAACCGCCATTGAACTGAGTACTCCCGAGTTCTTTCCCTTCCACTTGCAGAGTGTCAAGCGACCAGCATGGACGCTACGTTTCGTGGAGGCATGGCGATGAGGAGAGGAAGCTACGATGAAGCCGCGGCCTTTCTGCGTCCTGTGAGTACTCTATTGGGGCTGATGTTCTGCGTGACGCAAAGAGGGACGTGTTGGAATGGCATTCGGTTCATTGTGTTTAAAATGAGCAGTTGTCATCAGATGACTTCATTGAGTCGCCAGACATGCTGGAGGTAAACTCGGGCGACGCTTTCATGATGCAAACAAACACAACATTGATGGTTTTGGAGGATATGGAAATAAGCATCGGTGACCTTTTCACCTGTGACCCTGGACAGGATAAATAGTAACAAATGGAAGGGTGGGTGAGTGATGAATGAATAATTCATGTTGGGTGGTGAATGTGAGACCTCACGTTAGTGTAAATGACTTAAGAAACGCTCTCACGGCTTCAGTAATTGTTTTTTGTTTTCTTACAGCACTTCCGAAATATGGCTCAGCGACGTCGCTCCGCCCCGTCATTGGTTTTGGGAAAGGCTTTGGCTATGCCGTGGTCTCCAATCAGGTTAGTGGGACAACATCAAAGCTGTAACTCTTCCGAAACTATCAGAGCGAGGTGTGCAGTCGCAGGAAGTGTGTCATAAAAATGCCGACTTGTAGAAGCATATTCACACCTGACTGAGTGGTCGGTGAATCGCCATATCGTGGGGTCACAGGACATGTCCGGCCCATCCAACATTTAAATGATCAGGAGTCCAAAATTGTTACTTTCATCTAGCCAATTTTACTGTTTAAAAAAAAAAAAAATTAAATTCATTTTTAATACAGATTAAAAAAAACCCATCTATTTTGAACCCCCAGAGCATAAAATTGCCCATCCCTGCTTCAATCTCGAATAAAATGCAATAAAAACAGAATTTTCAGAATTCAAAATGTAACACCGTTCCAATTCATTTGCATTTCTTTAATGTCATACATTTCAGAGATTCATTTACAATGCATGATACACCCACGGTTGTGGTCGAGTGACATTTTTCACGTGTGGGCTACTTCCTTGTGGCTCACTTTCATTTTTCTTTGTTTTTTTTGTTGTTTTTTTTTACAGCAACTTTAAAAAAAAAAGTGTTAACGCAATTGCTTGCGCGAAGACCACCACAAACTTTAGCTGATGACTTTCAATAGTGGGCGAACATAATGACCTTTCTTTTTTTTTTGGAGTGGGGTGAGGGGGCGGGGGACTGAAGTATGCACTTAAAGTCATACTGCATGACATGAAACAATACACACAAAGGAAGGCCAGCTGAGCCCTGGACATATGTAATGGCATAATGGGTGCTTAATACGATCCGGAACTGACCAGTTCCAAATACACGTGCGTCATTCTTCAGTTGCTGTTAAATTTTGAGAGACGTGGGCATTCATTTTCTTTACATTAGTGAGTGCCATTGATGCTACTCACAGTTGTGAGATGAGATATAAAGCAGCCAGTTATCTTGATGGAGCATAATTGACAAGAAGCATTCAGCGGAACATTTTAATCTCGGCCCACTAGAATCTCTTCAGCCCCATTATGCTGTTCTTTCGCGAGCTATGGTGGCTTTTAGTTCTTTTTCTTATTTCCTATTATTCTATAGCGAGCGGCATGGTGGACGAGCGCTTCTTCTTTTTCGCGCCACAATTGTAATGGCAGTCGGAGAAACTAATCGTCCTGCCTTTCACTATACCGTATGCGACCGGCATCAATAGATGAACGCTGTCATCAGGACCGGAATGAGAATAAGTGCTGTGGAAAAAAGGATGGCTGTACGTTTTTGTTGTCCTCACACAAAGGTAAACGCGATCAAAAGTGAGTTTCAGCCACCTGGTTCTCAGTTTGACAAGTTTCGGGCGACAGGGGAGAGCACCGCACGCTCGATGAGTCAGAAGTGTCATCGTTGGTTTCACAGACATTCATATCCAAGAATGCTTCTATTTATGTTGGACCTCCACATTGACTCGAGGCAGCAGCGTTGTTTTAATAAGAGCATCTTATTGACGGTCAGATCAACGTTTAATCCGCGGAATATATGGGGAAAAATGTCAAGTGAGGCGTAAGATAAGCAAGGTAGTCCTTTTGATATTAAAAACGGATGGCGGCCTTCTTTGGTTGTCATTTCGTAGCCGAAATCAATATACAAAGTTTTAAAGCCATGTTAACTTTATATGCCTGCCGCCTATCAAAGTTTCATAAGATTTTACTCGTCCCTATCAGTTCTTCATTGCCGCATGCTACGCTTAGTATGCCATGTACAATAAAAATCTGTCTGTCGCCCCCTCTATCCGTCCCTCCGTCCATCCCATTGTTCTCCTTTAGGCCACTATGAGCTACTGATGCTCGCGTGTGTGCATGTGTGTGTGTGCCTGGTCTCTCTCAGGGAGGAGCCCTCCTGCCGGGTGTCAGTGGAGCACAGTCCCTTCGTCCACGGCCTCACCAGTGAGAACGGAGAGCTGCTGCTGGACGAGTGTGTGCACGTGACGGAGGGCACCAAAACGAGGGAGCGACACCTCTTCCTCTTCAGCGACGTCATCGTCTTCGCGAAGCTCAAGTGAGATGCCCGCCCGTGACGCGAGTCTCATCCGCAACACAGCGACGCACTATAAAACGCTGCAAGTACGCTGAAAATCACTCCCAATTTCCATCTCCAGTGGGTCTTGAAACTCATCCAAACTCATCCAGCGTGACCAAAACCTTGCTGTGCAAATCTGACCTTCGTAACCCATCGCTTCACGTTTATTTCATCGGCCATCAAGTTTGAGCTTGGAACTAACAGAGACGCTTACATAAGTATGGACTGAACCACCAAACCACCAAGTTAAACCACACCCACCACCACATATTTTCCAAAATGATTCATACTCTCTTTCAGTATATCCACATCCCAATTTCGACGTTTATAGTTGAGCAGAAATAGTTGATTTAGATGGAAGTTTCCAGCATCCCTTACAATGCTACGAAAGATTTCCTCAAAATTGTCAGTAGATATGTTTCTCCTTAATTACGGTCCATACAAATCCCATTTACCTTATAATAAATAAGCTGTACAATGAAATTGGTGTACCGCAGGGCAGCCATAATTTATTGAACATATTTTCCACCACACTAAGAATATACTTTTTTTTTTTTTTTAACTGTCATTTCAAACTTGTTTGTGTTCTAATACGGGCATGTTCTATTCATAAGAGTATCAGAATAGGAGAGTGAAAGGGGAAGTCAAGGCAAAATGGGTGTTTTTAGACTTAAATACTCAGAAGGGAATCCCCGCAGAGACCAACCGCCGTTGTTTAGTTCCTCATGACTAAGCAGTGCCAAACTGTTGTTTTCTTCACAAATAATAACAGCGATGTCGTTCAAATGGGCGATTCCTCGCAAGTCGATACACAAACTCAAGAGTCGGTCTCATTCGTTTCACGCTTGAGTCAGAGTGGATGGAAGTTTGGAAGTTCCTCCGTGGGAGGCAAGTCACTCTCATTTCTCGACCACACACTCTGCCCACTGTTCCAGTAGGGACGCCTAACAACGTGTACAGTAATTATTGTAAACAGACTCCGTGGAGGATTTGAATGACATGCTGAGATGTTTTTTTATTGTTAAGTACACTGTAACGTCCTTGTGGATAATCAGAGCCCTTTGTGTTGGGATAATCGCAGCAATTG